GGACTCTGATCTTAAAGGTCTTTCCCAACTTAAACAATTCTATGATTCTATGAAAAGCTAGAGTTTTCCTTTCTTACTCACTAGTCTAAATCATCACATTAGAGTTTAATACATAGAAGATACTAGAGATACAGTTGTACATATATATGTATATTTAGGAGCTACATAATAAATTACAGTGATTAGAAGATTGATGAGACATAACATCTTTGAAACTTCTTATCTTATAGTTTCTTGTCTTAAACCAGTGATGATCAGTGATTTTTCTGTTGTGATTACTCTAATATTTCTTCTTACAAATTCCCCAGAAAAGTGTATGATAAAAATATATTCTCCCAGGAGGACATAGTAATTGTTTAAAATGTCAACTCTCTGGTTTCCAGAACCATCCAGAGTTTGGATATGTATTTTCTAGTTTTATCAGTTTGTTTAGTTTCAAGATTCCTTTTTTTGAGGCTGCATATATATTTCCAGCTTTAATTTTTTTGCTCTATGAATTCAAATATTACCATAGTCATCCTGAGTTCAAATATACAGCTCCCTCCAAAAGCCATCTGCTCTTTGTTCTAGCCTAGTCAGGTATTATTTTGGCTTCACTTGACCGTTCAGCCTTTGAAGTTTCTGCACTCATGTTTCCCTCAGCTTTATTTAGCCTTATATCAAATTTAAAGCTCTGTCAGATTAACATTACTTGTTCACATATACCGGTTCCAGATTTTGGAAACTCTGCCAAACTGGAGTCTGGGTCTTTTGTTTTTTAACTTCCCATATTGTTTTGGCAAGCCTTCATGACTCTGAAAATGCAGTCTGACATTTAGTAATTTCAAAACTCTGAAACTATTTTTTAATACCAATAATAACAACTTTAAAAGATCGGGTGAAACGTTGTAATTCCTGATTTTTTTGTGTCATAACTTGGCCCAGTTTCTAGGCAGGACAGGTGATGGTTGTTGCAAGTGGATCCAGCCACTAAATCCTATCTCTCAATCCCAGCTGCTTCCAAGTTCCTTGAACTGGGAGGAAGAGCAGGAGGGAAGGAGGGCTGAGTCTGCTTAGCTCACTCGAGATCCAGACCTGGAATCTGATGTTCAGTTGTCTTGGACGGTATGTCCTTACCAGAGTCTCTTCATGCTGGACAGACGCTGGCATCACACACTTCTGCATTCGTGTGTGCTTAGATTCTTACCCTGAAAGATTTTATGATGTGGCACCTCTGGTTAACTGTAAAATCAGAGATTTTTCAGAGACAAATTAGTAAAACAATGAATAAATGTACTAGGAATTTCTAACCGCCAAGCAGTTTATTCATATGATAATAAATAAATAAAATCGAAGCAGCATCTGGAATGCAGCTCTGTGATCTTATTGGACTGATGTGCAAGTGCAGATTCTGGTCAGTATCTCTGGATAAAGCAGAAGAGTTCACACGCCTTCCCCTTTCCATTTGATCTCTTGGCTGTGAGGAACAGAAGCCTTGGTGAGAAAAATAACCGTGTTTAAAACTCTTTTACACACTTGACTGTGGAATGTTTCCCTGTCCAGATCATTTGTTCACCTTTTCTGCGGTGCTGGTTTGGAGAGGTGACACAGCTTGAGAATGAGGGTATTGATGAAAGGGGAGATACAGGAGGAATGGATGCAGAGCATGCAACAGAAATACTGTGAAGTAGTGTCTAACAGTTTCAGAATTACTATCCTGCAGTTTTAGGATTGCTCTGGTAGTGCTGTATTTCCATTGCACAGTCATAGCCTTACCTTTACAAACTTTATTATTCCACAGTGGAGGGGATGACTCAGTGCTGATTGCTCTTGTTGTTAGACTTATCTGAGGGTGATGACACCTGAAACACTAAGGTGTGATGAATTTTCACTTCCAGCTAGATATGTTAACCTACCAGACAATTTCTAATGCAGGGTGAAAATCAGGCTAGAAGCATCCAGAAAGTTTTCCCCGTAATTAAGAACTTCATGATTAACAAGACTTAGTTTTAGAACTCATTGACTGAAATTAATAATGCTTCTCTCTTTTAATAAAATTGAATTCATAATTTGAACTAGATACTTAGCTGTTTTGGTTCTAATCAGGCTTTTTTCAGTGTTGGATCAGAATACAATACATTGCATGAAGAATTCAAAACGGTGCTTACACAAGGCTTAGAACCTTCTCGGGCAACCCTTTATCTCACTTTCCTTTGACTTCTGGGAGAAGCGCTGACCTCTGGTGGCTGATAACATGAAGCTCTAGAAGAGCGCAATGTTTTTTGGTGGTGACTGAAACGATTTGGAGCTCCTTATCTTCAACGCCAATTTCTGGTTTTAGTAAGGTTTTGCAGCATGAACATTAGTAAAAATTATACTGCCTTAGCATTTAACTCCTTGAAATAGATGGGAGAGTTTTAAAGGACTGGAGGGGGCTCTAAACTGTTCCCACTGGAGCCAGCACAGGTTTCAAAGAGCCTTTGGGGTGTCTGACATGAAGTAGGGGAAATCATATTTCTTCTTTTCAGTTCCTCTCACCAAGATAAAGAAGTTGATTTCCATTCTTCTTACTCAGACTGACTTTCTCCAAGGTTATTTGATGCTCTGCATCAATTTTCACAGCTGCCTGAGGTTTATGCCCCACACAGCAGAGCAAATTACGCCCTGGGCTGAGTGTTTTGCCTGCAGCCTTTGGGTAGTAATTAATAAACTTCACCTGTAGTCACACACACAATATTTGAAAAGTATTGAAATAAGGATAGACTGACTTGCTGTTCCTTGCTTGGTTTTACATACTACTCAGGAAGTTTCATTCAAGTTACTTGCAGCATGCTCAAATGAAATGCTGCAGAGGTGCAATGAAATCCAGATTTACTTCTTTTGTGATTTCATTTGCTGTCAGTAAACTCTTCAGAAAATTATCCAAGGGCTTCCGGGCTTAGTTTTAAATTAAGACTGGAATGGTGAATAAATCACTGTGTGTGTGGAGCATTCAGCTTTCAGAAGGGAGGATGTGGCTATGATGTTGCACACATGAAATGTGTGCTTTTTTGCATGAATTTTGTCTTTCGACCAAAGAACATACATACAGCAGCAAAGTTATGAGATAGTAGAAAGGATACAGCAGTAAAGAGGGAGAACTCTTTGATATTAATCCTAATTCCATTCTCCCTGTCTTCTGGAAAGTCCGTACAGTCTTGATTTCCAGATTTTGCTTTCAGGGTGAGATATTTATGCCGAAGTAACCTTCGCTGCTAAGGCTGTGCTGCTAACAACTTCTGTGCTGCTGGCGTGGCGCTGCCTGACCCTGCCTGGGACTTCATGTCCTTTCACTGCAGTGCAGCGCGATTTCTAACAAGCAGGCTCTGCCTGGGGTATTACTTGTGCATCAGGATTGCGTTCTGAATAATCACAAAAAAGAAGCATCTTATGGCTGAGCCAGCAGTTAGAGAAGAACTACAGTGGAATCTCAAAGATTTTTCTTCTTTTTTAGGAGGGGAGGGTGGGGGGTGGGGTTCATGGTGCTGTAGATAAGTATGCTAGTGCTGCTGCAATGACGTAAAAAACCTCCTTCAAAAGCCTGTCTCAAAGACATGGTTGCTGAAAAGGAAGGAATATGAATAGCAGTGCAATGGAGAACACAAGGATGTAACTCGGTTTAGGCTGCTAAAATTCTCTAATGCCAGGTTTCATGTGTGATGGAATACATTCTTTTTTCTAGAGGGTTAAACACTTTGTCCTTCATCTCAGCCAGCATTTATGGATTTCCAGGTCTGCCTGCTGAGAATTAAATTAAATATGTAGCTGCTTCTCACCTTTCCTCTGTTGCTGTACAAATGGAAGAGAATTTTTCTTACCAGTAATACAAATGATGATCATTGCTGCCGAGATTTATTATTTTTTGGTATCAGGAAGGATAACAAGTCTGCCTTGTTTCCAGAAGGATTTGGATTTCCGAACAAAAGGATAATTAAGGCATGCTCCATTTTCTTAAAGCTATGTCTAGGAAATTAGAGGCATAGCAAGCCTACACAAACTTTATAAGCATGGCTGAAAAGGAAAGATGAACTGCTTTAGGGTGTCCTTGAAATATGTTGGATGGGGTTTTTAACTTCACTTTTGGAAGGTTTGGCTCTTTTTCTGTCAAAAGTTGCCTTTTGCATGTGCTGTTCAAGATCCATTAAATGTCAGATGGAGGTTAGGAAGCCAAGGGTAACTCTTCTATTTTTATGTATTTATAATCACCTTTTTCTTGTGTTACAAGTTCTGTTAACGTGGTGGGTTGTTGGTTTTTTTTTTTTAAATCAGCAGGACAATTGAATTTGATATTGAAGTGATTATGTATTACTATAACACTGTTAGAAGTATATATGGAAAGAAAAACATTTAACTGAGTGTTTTATGTTAAATTTTTGTTTAATTTTCCTGCGTCTTTTAGGCAAGAATTAAATATAGGTAAACAGCTTGTTAATGTGTTTGCCTGTATATATATATTTCCACAGGAACATGCACTCAAAGGACAATTACAGCTAAGAGATTTCTGTCTAAATTATATTTTCTGGAATGAAATCTGTTTAGCTGAATAAAGTCATATGCTGACAGTGCTAGAGGCAAAGAAACAAATGGAATTGTTTTTATTTGAAAGTATTCCTTTCAATGCCAAGATTATCATAACGTGCATTGGCTTCAGAGCACTGCTGAAAATTTCTCTTTTAAGAATGAGTTAATATAATAAACTTATTTAGTCTTTCTTTACCTCTCTCCTTTCCCTGCTCCCAGCCATGCCAACTTCTCCATCATTACATTTTTCAGCTGTTTCCAGGATCTGTATGTACCAGCCAAGAGCAATCTGTCATTGTCAGAGTTTAAAACTGCTATTGTTTACTACCCTAATTATATACCAGGTTTACAAACTTGTTTTTTTATAAATGCTTTCTTGGGAAAATCAGCAATGTTCATCTGGTTGTGCTCACACTCCCCCCATTTTTTTCCCTTTCCCTTGTCCTCCTCCCCTGCTACAGGAGCCCAGTAACAAACGGGTCAAGCCGCTTTCCAGAGTTACGTCACTAGCGAGTCTCATTCCTCCCGTCCGCGCCACTCCGTTTTTTTCAGCCAGACGCTTCAGGTAATCGCAGAAAATGCGTCGCTGCATTGAACGGCACTGCTGGCAGGGAAGGGCACACGGACTCACAATTTCTGCTGGGAGTAGCATGGGAACGGGACCCACACATACGTGCACCCCCCTACTATGGTGCGCCAAACAGGTTTAGGCAACTTACGACTAGAGTCACTCGATTTCAAAACTCAGAACTTTCACGTCAAAAAACCACTTCTCTGTGCAGATAATTAATGGTTTTTTTGATTACCGGTAAGAAAACTATTGCACCTGTAGCATATAGAAGTTGTTACACTAAAGTATTATCATTGCTTTCTAAATCTGATGAACGGTTTTCCATGATACTTTCTGCTAATTTTGGTTGGTTTCTTTTGAAAGTGTCATTTTTCCTATAGTGAGTCATGCAGGACTGCTAAATTTTCTTCTGTGAAATGAACTTTGACCTTTCCTAAAGAAAAGAGTTCATGAACAATTGAAAAAAAGTCATTTTCCAAAGCTTGTGATGAACGTTTATAAAGGGCAAGCAAATTTTAAATGCAGCTTAGAAAATAAATAATGTAGATTAGGTGTGTAATGTTTAACATAATAACAAGTTCCACATTCTAGTTCCAAGACTAATGGTACCTCAGTTTGTAAAGTATTTGTAACTTCAGACCTAGAGACTGTACAGCATCTGCGTGCTCAATTCTCAGTGGTCATCACGAGAGGCAAACTGTTGGGAGCTGCAATCCTGCTGTGGGTCTGGCCTAGAAAGCCAGACTGTTTCCTTTTTAAAACACTTTATGTAAGAAAGCGTACCTAATTTCTTTGAGAGGAAACATTAACATACCTTGAATGTATTAAAAATGTTGCTTAATCAAAATTAGTTTAATTTCAGCATTATTTAAGTTATCTGTTAAACTCGAGGGGAAAAATAACTTTAGACCTAGGAGCCTTATGACAAGCGGATAGAAAGCAATGGGAAAGAACCCTGTTTTTTATCTAGAAAACAGATTATCACGGGGCTTCTTTACCATTGGTTTTCCTGTGCTCAATTTTTCGAGTGCAGACATCTGCATAGATGCAGAGAGCACGTGTGGAGGGTTGGAGGCAAGGCGAAATGGCTGAAACTCCCTCAGTCTGAGTTTGATCCAGAAGGTATATTATAGCGTGACTAGAGCAGAGATGCCTGTATTCCCGGGGGTGTATAAATCTCCTCCGTAGTCTGCCTCCAGGAAAAAATTGGCCCGACTCTGAAAGGACTACATTAGTTCCAGTTATGAGGAGTGTGGAAAGTGAATTAATTTTTGGCTAAACTGCTTCTGAGCACGGCGCTTCCGTTTTCACAGCCTCAGACAGCTGTTGTCCTCATTTAAGTACCTACTCTGTCGTTCTGAAGTGAAAGCCTTTGAGACTGGGTTGTCCAATACAGTTTTGTATTTATTAAAGTTTGGGTTAGACTGTTGTAAACAAACTCTCCTTTAAGGCATGTAGTAGCAGCTTCCTGAGATGAGAACTACATAAATGGGTTTCAGGGCAAATTTTTACTAAAATAGGAGAGAAAACAGTGGCTTTGGAAGTTCTGCTGTTGTAAGCATTTCAGTCTTGCTCTGTTCATACTGTTTATAAGAATATATTTTAATTAACTGTGTGCTGCTAAGTAGATTAAACAGTGATGTTATTCACACTATGTCCTTTAAGTTAACAGCATGCTTGAAGGAGCTGCAATGAGAATTGAGCCTGTGTGTTCTCCAAATCCTAGGTCTGAACCATTTTCAAGTGGTAAATACTGGTGATGTCTCTCAAAACTTCAGAGCTGGCTGTAAATGGACTTCTTATCTGATTTTTTCAGCAACAATAGAACAGGCAAAAAAAAGACTGACCTTCTGTTGCTTGGGTGCTCCATTTGGAATTACTTAGAAGCATTCTGGAAGCATGTGTAGCCTTTTTACTTTGTTATGCATTGGCATAGCTGTCACTGCTTTCTGGAACAGCACAGAGCAGGATTTTTTTTTCCATGGTATAATACCTGTAAAAAGAAACAAGTCATGATTTCTTCTTACTGGGTGAACTTTTATGTATCTTGATTGTTAAGTTATTTCAGTCAAAACCCATGTTTTTTTGACATTGCTGCTAGATGTTCTGTATCTGTAAACCCAAGAAAACTACTATCATCACCACAGCATCCAAAGCAGAAACTTCTTCCCCTGGAAGAAAACAAACAAAGCCAACAGAACATCCATCCCAAAAGACTACTCCCAATAGCATCGGTAAAAGGAATTAGAAAATTCTCAGTTTCCTTTATGGCATTTTAAATAATTCTTATATATTCATTCTGAATGGGAGATACATGTAAGAGGGGAAAAAAAGTCTTTCCAGCTTGCTTTCTGGGGTTTTTTGACTATTTGTAGTCACTCTGTTACTGTCACATAGGCACAGTAGACTAACTGACTAGTGTAGTGCTGTTAACTTCATCTCTGACGAGAGCCTGCCTGTATATTTGCAGGATTCCAAATCCCAGGCAGGTACTCTTGTTTGATTATCCACCTGGAAAACCACTTTATTTCATAGCTGTATTTTCAATCTGCATCAAGCTAGACTAATGATGATGATGATCTTTTTGTTTCTGCTTGGTCTTATGCACAGCTGTGCTGTTCAGCTTAAAAACTGAAAATAGGATCGTCAGCTAATGCTGAAGAGAGAAATCAAAGTCTAGCTGGCAACTTCAGTTTTTATCAGTGCATCCTGAATTTAAGTAGGGAATCCAAATTATTTTTAGCTGTCTTAGGACGCCAGAAATTTCTAAAAATCCTTAAGAAGAAAACCTGTTAACAGGCTTACAAAACTTTGATCTGAAGTACCCTTTTTTCCCAGTATGTGAAGCTATTTGCTTTACTGCATCCGAAATAAAGGTTTGTTAACTGTGTGACTTAACATCAGTAACACATAGACCCTTCATAGTAACAGTCTTGGAACAGCCAGTGAAAGCTACTGCAGTCAGATAAATACAGTCAACGAAATCAAAGGTTGTGGCTGGATTCTTCCCCAACTCCTTTAGTTTTTGGAACTATTTGAAAATTTTAATCATCCCCGTTGGGCATAGTTTTTAACCAGTATGCTGGACATGTTTTTTAAGGGTGCTGGAAACTAGGAGAATATTTTTAAGACAGAGAAATGCTGCTTTGACATTCCTACAATTCTTTCACACGATTCTATCACATGACTGATTTGTTTTATTAATTTATTTTCCTTCATGAAAACTACCAACCAAAGATACCATCAGAGTACCTTTAACTAAAAATTTCTGGTAGAACTTCAGTTTAGGGCTCTATTACACAAAACTAAATTGGGTCTCTCTATTTGCTAGAAACTGGCTAAGGTAATAGAACTGAATACTGTACATGTGTCTTAAACTACTGTTTATTTGGGGATTTTTTTTAGCTAGGCTTATATATCAGGTTTACGTCTCATTTGTATTCTCATTACAGCATTGATGATCCAAGTATGTTTGACTCTCCAGGGACAAAGTATTAATTTTAGCATTAAATAGTATTTCCCTGGTGATACTGTCTCTTAATAGCTTAACAGCCAACTTCTGCAATGTGCATGCAAAGGGGAAGATATGTTAAAATAAGCTTGTTATTCCACACTCAAGTATGTGACTCCCAACCTAACGCGATAGTCAGTGTTTCTGCGTTGGCTGTGTTACTGTATAAAAGAAGGAAATGCGCCAGACAAAGAAACTACTTGCTCTTGAAGTGGAATCTGTCCTTGTTAAGTAACACCTCAAAACATTTCTGTGCCTTTCCACTAATAAATATGTTCAATCCAATGTTCCTTATTAATATTAAGCAAGGTACAATTGGCATGGTTATTAAAAAGGCTGATGTATGAGAGAAATCAATTACAGTGTGCAGGTAGCAAAGATGCTAAGCAAGCAAGCAGGATTTTGAGGGTTTGGTTTCCTTTAGATTCTCTGAGCCTTTTTGTGCCCCTTCTGCTGAATGGAGGGCAGTATAGAGCTGTAGAGAATAGTAGCAAGCGCTCTCATGCCGCGTAATTAAACATTACTCTCGGTGGAGGTGAAAGCCTACTTTTCTCAAAATGGTAATTTCAGTTTGCTGTTAGGGGTGCATGCCATTTTATAGCATAATATATGACGTTTTGTTTCAAGATCAAGGCATTTACTTTAATAGTCTGTCCGGTACTTTTCATTATAAGTACTTTCTTCATTCAGCATAAAACATTCCTTTAAGAAAACACCACCACAAACGAAGGAGTTATGTACTGGAGGGCGCACATGGGAAATGCATGGAAAGGGGCATTCCACCTTGGGTCATGGAATGGCAACTGTTCTACTTGGCTGCATTCTCATGGTTGGTGGTTTGTGGATGAAACACACCTGCCTCTTTTTCCCTAATCCCTCCATTTGCATGTGAAAATAACAAATCCCATGATTCTCGTTGTAACAAGTGTAAATTAAGCATGTAACTTCACATGTGTTTCTTCTTAACTCTTGAAGGAAGACTAGCACCTGACTTGCAAACTCTTGGAAGGTTGATATATATACTTGTGTGTTTATTTTCAGGGGTTTTGTCAATTCCAAGTAGGGTTCAAAATGGCTTGTGTTAAAAGGCACAGTTTCTATTTATGTAATATGTCTTACGATGTTTTAAAAAAAAGTCTGCATTTCGTGGGCTCTTGCCTTCAGAGGAGAATTTCAACTATTGTACTTTTTATATGCTGCTTTTAACCTGGAAATGAAGAGAATTTACTTTGTTTAAAGTATTCTTACCCAAGGCAACTGAAAGACAATTGTGTTATGTAAGGCAGGTTTTGAATAACAACAGAAATGTAGAGCATTTCAACAATGTGAAATACTTGAGGCATTTCAGAGGTAGGACATAATTTTAATGAAGCAAGAAAGGAATCTTTTCATAATAGCACAGTGAGAGCATAAAGTATCTGCCCTTAGCCTGAACTCTAAGGGTCTACAGGCAAATAGAACTCTCACTTAAAATTGGGCTTCTTCTTATTGAAGTTTAAGACCAGACCACATAATAGGTACAGAGATGCTGTTACACATCATTACACATCATCAGAGTTCAGAGACTCTAGAAATACTAATAAAGCTTCTACGGTAGTAGACCAGAATACTGGTATTTCACAAAATGCTCTCTGCTAACACTGAGTGTGTAACACTTTTCTTCAAATGCTGAGACATAAATAGGAGCAAGTGGTGTGAAAAGAATCTGGCTTGTTGCTTGTCATAAAATCTGAATATCTTTTCCTTAAACATAATGTTTTCTTTTCACTCAGATACCTATTTCACACCTTTCTATGTCAGTTAGTTTCTAATCTCATTTTACATCTGAAGAGGCAAGATATTGCAAGTTGAAAGGGCTTCTCCAGGTATCAGAACCAGTTTCGTCAGTTAGAGCATTGTAGCACTAATTAAATAATCCTGTTTACGGACATATCTGGAATGATTACACCAATCCAATCTGTCATGATTCTGACAGTTTACAAAAAAAGTAAAAAACATTATCACCAGGTAGCAAGACACTTCATAGAGTAAGAGGAAAGTTTTTAAAGGGCAGTCTCACTTTACTTTTTTCTGCCTAGCTGAGAAAACATCTTTCTTCTCAAACCATTAATATGTGTTTGTTGTAATGCACCTTTTCATCTGACATCCTCGAAGTAGGACCTGTTGTTTCTCAGTACAGACATCTTCAATCAGACCTCTTCACCCACTGAAAACAAAAAAAGTCTAATGATTATCTTGATTTTCAGCTGATACACAAGATGACTTGATCTTCCAGATTTTGCTATCCTAGCTTTCTAGAGTTACAGTGTAACAGTTGAATTTTTCTCTCAAAATTAACGAAAAAAAGTATTCCTACTATTTTTTGTCTTTAAAATATGCATTAATTCTAAATTTTTAAGTATTAGGAATCTAATGAGGCAGATATGTGTAATGCATGAATAATTCTCTTTACAGAATTGAAGCTTCTATTTGTTCAGTTGTTGCTGTAGTGTATTAGACCATTCTTCCATTCCCCCTGCGTTTCATTCGTGTTGTGTGGTATATGAATGCCTTGTATAGCTTGAAACATTGGAACAGGACATGGATATAGCTCACTGCAGGAATGGAAGCACTGGCTTTTCATAAAGATGTATTAAATAATTTTTCTTAGATTACCAGTACTGAACATTGTTATTACATTCTCACAGTAAAAACTAATTAGAGAACTTTTGCTGCAGTGGACTGTGTATATACATTTCTTAAGGGGAAAAGAATGTGTAACGTGAAACTGTTCTACCAATAAAAACTATTCTTCTGTGTATTTCTAGCGTTCTATCAGCTTCCGTAGTGACAGTCGCCCAGATCTGTTCAGTCCACGACCATGGTCTCGAAATATGCCCCCCACTAACACAAAGCGGAGAGACAGCAAACTGTGGAGTGAGACCTTTGATGTCTGTGTCAATCACATGCTTACATCTAAAGAAATCAAGCGTCAAGAGGTATGTGGTTTGGTTTGGTTTGGTTGGGTGGGTTTTTACCATAAATTTCATGTTCAAAAGTCATCTTTAAAGCATGGAGTTCAGGAATGCTAGAAGGCAGTAGGATAGAATTTGGCTTTCCCGAAATTAAACAGAACGTCACCACCCTCACTAGAAGCAGAATTCCATCCCCGTGTCTTTGTAATTCAAGCTGTTTTAAATGAATACATTCTCTCCTTAAATCAGCTCATCATATTTCCTTAATAAATGTGAAGTTACTGATATACATCCTACTGTGATTGGCTGCATGGGTGTACATGCCCTGTATGACAGTTTCTGTAGTGGTAGTTGATATTTTGATGTTTCGGTTTGTTGTTCTAGAAATGTTGAGCATGCTGTTTCAGGAACAGGTGTTCATCAAGTGATACACACAGAAATGCGTAATCATTCCTCTTGTTGGAAAAAAAGTATCTTTATGGAAGCTCTCAGTGCTAGAAAGATGAAATATTGATCAAAAGACATATCTTTCAAAGGAATAACAATAACAACGTGTGCATCAGTTTTAACGTGTTGTGCATGACAAATTCTAAATAGTTCGTGTTACAGCCAGTGACAGAACTCCTGTGGAATCAAAATTTTTTGTTTTCCTAGAGAAATTTCTAGCAGTATCAACAAAGTTTATAACAATCTCCCTGAGAATGCTTTAAAGACTGAGTCATAAACAACAGTAACATCAAGCATTTCTTGTGCAGATTTTATCATTGCACAAGAATTCATAGGAAGTAACCTTGAAGATTGAGAACTTCAAAGGCATCTTACTGAAAAATAAACTGTAGAAACTGTTTGCATAGTGGAACAGTCATTCCTGTCTTGGGGCAGAAGACAGGAACCTTCACCGAGCCCAAATGAATGAGCTGCGTTCCAGGATGTTTTGCACGAGCAGTTGTGCTTTGTATCGGTTCTTACGGGCATGCCTCGGCAGTCTCTGAACCACTTCCATGCGTGCGCTGGCAGTAGGCTCACGCTGTGGCAACATGCATGCCAGCAGGGTAGGAGAATCTGCACTAGCTCAAGATGTTCTTCCATGGTTTATGCAGGTTGAAACCCTTGACTGGGAAGTTAGTGATTGTAACCAACTGAGATGTTCCTAGCTTTGCTGTACCTCAGTTTAGAATGAAATCATGCAATAGGTAAATACAATGGGATTTTAATAAGATGAGTGATGGTGATGGTGATGGTTATGTTTAATGTGCCAGTTTTAAAGTCTCAAATCTGCTTCAAGAGGAGTAACTGACGTCAGCCGACAGTTAAGTAGAGCTCAGCCTTCATAACAAAAAAATTAACTGATACCAAAATAAAAGTGCTCACCACCAAAGATTTGTCTCTTACTTACTAGACTCCCTGAAACTTTTACCACTGTATGTGTTAAAATGGAACACAGCAAACTCCTATGCAAGTGGTTGTATAAACAATTAAAGTATAGTTGAGTCAACATATCCCACTGAAGATATCTCCCCCACCTGGAAGCACATCGGTTTTGAAAAAAAAAAAAATAATTCTGTGGTTCTTTCAGATAAATTCAGATATATTGTATGAACAATCTGATACAGCTCTGCTTTAATAAACACTGCACATGATTCTGAAGCTATGGGATAAAGCTGTACTTTGTATCTGCAATTACATTTAGAGACATTCTGTTACATGGTACTAAGACAGCTGACTAGAGTATAACATCAACTCAAGTAGTTGAGTATAGATTAAATAAAGATATTTTATAAAATATATGTCTCTTTTTACAGGCTATCTTTGAACTTTCCCAGGGAGAAAAAGACTTGATAGAAGATCTGAAGTTAGCAAAAAAGGTATTTTTAAAAAAAAAACACGACAAACAGTATTCATTGGCTCATATCACTTTTAAAATAATCCCTGCTTTTTATAATTGCTAAGACAGCAAGGGGGGGGGAAAACCAAATCATACTTCTAGTCTCCCATTCTTTCTGAAACACTTGAATGTGTTGCTCTATTTTTTTTAAAATATGAAATCGATAGTTGATGAAACTTTGGCTTTTGGTCTGGTTTTATTTACAAGGAGCTTTAAATGTTATCACTAATTTTTCAGATACCAGTGATATATTAATTACAGAGCTCCCCCCTCTTTTTTTTTTTTTTTCCCAGGCATATCATGACCCAATGCTTAAACTTTCCATAATGACAGAGCAAGAATTGAACCAAATTTTTGGGACACTGGACTCTTTAATTCCATTACATGAAGGTAAAACTCACATAGACTTTGTCGGCATTACTATTGCACATTGATTAATAGTTACCTGGTTCTTTAAGTGAAATTTCCCTTCTTTTTTGATCATTGTCAGATCTTCTTAGGCGACTTCAAGAAGTCAGAAAACCTGATGGATCAACAGATCATGTTGGCCATATCCTTGTGGGTTGGGTAAGACATAGTTTCTAATGAATTTGGGGACTTAAGTTTGGAGCTGCAACACAGCTTTTACCAGACAATTTCTGTATGTAGCATAACACGTCACAAATGTATTCTTAAAGTATGTTTAAAAGGTAAGGCAACTATTTAGACATAATGGAATATTTTCTCTTTCAGGGATTTCCCATGAAAAGAATTAGACTAGGATGTTGTTTTTAAAGCTTTTGCTATTCAAGAGATGAGCAATATATAATATGCTTTGAATAAAAATCAACAGTTGGACAAGAGCTGTTCTTATGTAGATCATTTAAGAATCTGCCCCCATTTGTATTCTGGTTTTCTAGAGAAGCGAAGCTTCAGCAGTCACATTGTGTCGGGGCAGCCTGCAGTTATTTGTGAATGTTAGCCTGCTCCGTTCAAGGCAACAGGTAGTTGTGAGTGCCGTCAGAGGTACTAATTTTCTAGAAGTTCGTTCAAATGATGCAGACGGGGTAGAAGAGAGATGCTATTGCTGCCCCATGAAAGAAGTTGCTAAGTCCATTTTCATTAGTATCCAATAACACGGACACTGTAAAAAAGGCTTTTGTTAGTTTTGTTGATAAAGTTGCTCATTGTATTAAAAAAGAGCTATTTTTAAAAGGATTTAGATATGTTAGAAGTTTATATCTAGGTAGGTGTAAGTAAGTAAATGTAGCAGGAAAACAAGATCCTGAACACCAGTGAGCTTCTCTTGGTCCAGATAGGTCCGAGTCTAGTTTCCTTTGTTGAAGATTTTAATCGCGTGTTATTATCAGTTTTTGTAAATGGATATATTGTCCTAATCAACACACAAGCTGGGGTTTTTTCAGATGTAAGGCACAGTTCTGTCATTTTAGTTTGGTCCAGGTTTTTGAGGGCAATATAGGATTTTAGTTATAGAAGTTTGCTTATCTAAAAAAGGCCAGGTTTGGAAGTACTCATTCCTAGGCTTTTTTTTCCATTCGTAATTAAAATCAGACTTCAGTGTTCAACTACTGTCCGCACTAAGTAGCAATCAGTCTTCAGCCATGGGTATTTTTAATGCTCTGGGATAATACTGGAGATCTCTAGGAACTGAGAGATGAGCTAGTGCTTCTAAAAGAGTTAAATCATGAACAAGGTGGTCAGAGAACTCTTGTTAACAAAACACTAGATATGTTGGAGACACTATCGTCAGTAAATTGTGGGTAGATCTCCAGCTAAAAAGATTCTCAATGGGAAGTCTGATGTCCTGAATCACTTGAAACTCTCGATGTGGCAAACTGTGCTTTATTTCAGCTGCACAATAATTTATTCCTTTCCTCAGCTTCCATGCCTAAACTCCTATGATAGTTACTGCAGCAATCAAGTAGCAGCCAAAGCTTTATTGGATCACAAGAAACAAGATCACAGAGTGCACGATTTCCTACAGCGCTGCCTCGAGTCTCCTTTTAGCCGCAAACTGGACCTTTGGAATTTCCTTGACATCCCAAGAAGCCGTTTGGTTAAATACCCGTTACTACTCAGAGAAATTTTGAGACACACACCAAATGATCATCCAGATCAGCAGCACCTTGAAGAAGCTGTGAGTTACTGTTTGGTTTGTTTGGGGTTTTTTTTTAGGAGATTATAGCACTTCTAGCTTATTAATGAATTAAGTGACACTACATAAAATATGGAAATACTGATACTTATGTGAACAGCCAAAATGAATATCTGAAATGCCTAGTCCCACTGTCCCAATTAAATCCTATTTCAGTAGCAAAGTGAGGTGTTTTCCCCAGCTCTTGTCTGATCCTTGTCCATTTTGTATTTACCTTTCAATATAATTTTCCATGTTAATCTAAGTTGGGTAAAGTGGAGATTTCTTTTAGATCATTTAGATAAGTTTTATTCCCTGACTTGAGACCTTACGTAACGTCTGAATCTAGATTAATTATCATCTTTTTTGAAAAATGCCTTCTTTCTGTTTTTTATTCAGAATAGCATTGCACTTTCTGAAGTAAAACCGGAGGGATCAAATCAAAAGCTTTGCAACTTGCGTATTTATAGAAGGGACTTGATTCAGATATTCCAAAAGGTTTCTAATATTTCTAGTCTTTCCCATGCACACACATATATGCATATATATCTACACAGACACAGAAACACACACACACACATATATATAATCCAATAATATGCATCCATGCAAATGTATAACTGAGAGTAGATGAGCTTACTGTAGCGGATTTGTTTGAAACACACTTATAAATTAATGAATAAATAAATATCATCAGTATCCTACTGCTTTTGAATAGTATTTAAATATCAGTACATTTTGTTATATTTTTAGAAGAAAATTTATTATTTGCCTAGACTTGAATATTTTATACATTTTTGTATTTCTCTGGTGAAAAATGACAGCCCTGCATTTTTTGGAAACGGCATGTTTCAAAACACGTGTACCTGATGACCATCGTTTTGCTATTCCTTCCCCAAATCTCTTGCCCAGCTCGACTTCTCTGTTGTGAAATTGGACAGAGCTTAAATTCAAAGCTTGGCTATTCACATGTAGATGTAAACTATTAGCTACATTTTGCCTTTGTGCGTATTCTTTTAAACCCAAACAAAAATCATAAATATCCCAATTCTTCTGCCTATTTCTAAGGTTTGCTTTTCCACCTAATGTCTAATAATGTCTTCTAAAAGTATTTTAAATGCTTTCTTCCAGTACTTGTGGTGGGGAATTGTTTAAGGAAATATAAACAGGATTATTTTCTTGTATCAATAGCCTTATATAGCTTTGTGATATTCTGCTTCAGCAGAATGCTGTTTTATGTTTGAAGTGATGTATTTAATAAATTGTGTATTTGCCAAGTCAAATTAGGAAACAGAGGTTGGCTCCTCAGACTGGTTTAGGCTTATGAGGTATATTTGTCTTCCTGTCTGGTAATCTGCTATAAGCACATTGAGCCAAGGTGATCCACGATAAATCTTGGGATCAGCAGATTCTTGAATTATCTGTTTGGGCATGTATGTGTAAACACATTCCCCTGCTCCTCCTCCAGTGATTTAACAGAGGAATTTGATCAAAGTAACTTACAATCACTGTTAGACTTCAGTAAATCAACAGAAGTTCACATCCACATGCCCAGTTAAAGAGACTGATTTTCAGTTTTAGATGAGTTGCTCTCGAAGTCCTTAAAGATTGCACAGTATAAGGAAGTTCAAGATAGGGAGCATATTTCTATAGAAAAGGCAAAGAGTTTTTAAATTATTTTTTAAAGTAAAAAAGCAAGATAATTCTTCCTTTTAATTTAACGTTGTAGGTATATGCAAGTAGTGGAATTGGTAAATAAAATTGATTTACCTTATTTCCAGGGAATAACTTTCATAATAAATAAAAGTTGAGAATTTAGTGTTTTGGGCCAGTTGCATGTTTTGCAGGAAAAGGATCGTGATAAATCTTCTGTTTCTTGTTCTTTGAAACAATACAGCACTTTTCGGAGAATTATAAATTATTTTAATAAATATTTTAAAGGCAGATCATTTGTCCAATGTCATTTATTCGTACATTTCAGCTGATAAAATTACATTTCTGATTTTATTTCTTGCATCTTAATTCTGCCTATTTTGATTTTTTTATAAGGAAATAAATGTCAGATTTTGAAGCCATTGTTAAAAACACTTTAGTTTGGCTTTATCATTGTCTTTGTACACTGTAGCCTGCTTAATTCTGTTGCTGCTATTAATAGTCTAATGGACTGGTCTGCAAAAAAGTAATGAAAAGTATACTGTAAATTAAAATACTTTTTCCTTGTGGCTACAGTTTAAATTGTTAGGAGATAGCTCTTGACTATTGGACTGTCTAATTAATTTTTGTGTGTTTTCATTGTTTTTCTGTAGATTAATATAATTCAGGGCATAGTGTCTGAAATCAACATAAAGACTGGTGAATCTGAATGCCAGTATTACAAAGAGAGACTTATTTATCTTGAAGAAGGCCAGAGAGATTCATTGATTGATAATTCACGTGTTGTATGTTGTCATGGTGAACTGAAGAACAACAGGGGAGTGGTAAGGAATAAATGTTTTGTTATAACTGGCTTTTAAAATTATCTTAATTTTGCATGACAGCTAAAAGACCTGTGACTATACCTATGGAGACATTATGCTCTTGTGCATAGGAAGTTGATAAATATTAATTATAACTTACCTTTTTTGACAGCAGTCACATATCTGTATATGGAGATAATAAGCCTGTATCTGCCTCTGTCTGTTAAGGCAACCTAACTAAATTCTAATTCTGGTAAATTTCAATAAACTTGCAGGGAAAAAAGCAAATATGAAACATACTCTGATCTCAGAGACATGACAGTAACGTCTATAATGCTGTTGAGCCATAAGGCTTTTAAATAGTAGGAAAAGAGTAATCCTTATTTTAACTGTTGAAAACGTAAAGTTATAACATACTAGAGTTTAAATCAGTTTAATGATGTTCTAAAAATGGAATAAGGCTTTATTTTTTATTAATTTCAACAGAAACTGCACGTCTTCCTCTTTGAAGAAGTGTTGGTGATTACTCGAGCTATCACCCATAATGAACAGCCCTGCTACCAGCTCTACCGGCAGCCCATCCCGGTGAGGGAGCTGGTGCTGGAAGACTTGCAAGATGGAGAAGTGCGATTGGGTGGATCCATACGTGGTGCATTCAGCAACAATGAGAGAAGTATGGCTACACCTTTTTTATTTCTCTCATCAGGTCATTTTTAGCCTTAAGACACTTGCCGATGAGTCATCAGAATATTTTCTCTAAAATTCACGTTATCTATATCCAACATTTTGATTTTTATTTCAAACTTATTGATTATGTTGTAACATGCTTCTTTTAGATTGTTTCTCAAAGTTCAGTGAACCAATAATGGGAATGGGATTTCTCCACACACCTGCTGTACTGAATTAAGAATATGTAGAATGTAATGGCAAACCCGCGAAACTATAAGCAAGTCTCTTTTTAAATCGTTTTAACTGTTACGACTTTCCTTAATTACAGAGACATTCATTGCTATTCCATAGCCAAGTCTTTCAGCTGACAGTTCGTGTCATGCTCAGTGTTAAGACTGCAGCTGTTCATGTTAATGTCCTTCTAATGTAGCGTATTATAAAGATGCTTGTTTTTCTTACAAGGGTCCTTTGAATCTCACTTACCTTGTGAAAACTTTGAGGGTTTTTTGTATGTATTCACTTTATTACTGAAGGGAATGGAAGAGATGAGGCAATCTCTGGCTGACAAAAGACATAGTATTCAGTGAAGGTCCTAGAACTAATCTGCTTTGCAGAGAAGTAGGAGAGGCGTTGAAGTGTGGGAAAAGCCTTAATCTTGCTGATTCAGTTAAAGCTTTATGGGTAGCTTATACATGGCAGAACCAAAATTGTTTAATCCAGCAATATGAAATTACTGGAAGTGCTTGTGGTGCATTCTTGCCCCACAAAACAGGAGATACTCAGACTCTTCCCTCTGGTCTGATGTCCTATTGGCAGAAAAACACCCTAAGTCAAAAGTATTGCATATTTTGTTATTTAAATATACCCTTCAATTATAAAAATCCATTCAGCAAAAGTACTAAGTGGTTTGATACGTGTTGTTTCTTTCAGTCAAAAACTTCTTTAGAGTCAGCTTCAGAAATGGATCTCAAAGCCAGACTCACTCACTCCAAGCCAATGACTCCTTCAACAAACAACAGTGGCTTAACTGTATCCGCCAGGCCAAAGAAAAAATTACATGTGCAGGCAAAGCTGGCTTGCTGAACTTGGAAGAACATTTTCTTTTGTCACCAAATGGAAGCAGAGTACCCCAGGGAGAAGCCAAACTTGAGCAAATGGACCACTCAGACTGTGAGTCAGAATGTAGTATGGACACCAGTGAGATCAGCATCGACTGTGAACATATGGAACAGACAAACTCTTGTGAAAATGAAAAGCAAATAGAAACCAATGTTTGACAAAGACTTACAGCTCATGGAAGAAAACATGTCTCCTACCTGTACAGTATTTGCATTCCATACATGGAACCATTTGGAGAAGCACTTTTAAAATATTTTTTGTGACAATGTCAATGCAGTCCCTCTTGTATTCGTACCTATGAGTGTAGTACTGTAACTGCCAATCTGTATAAGCTGGAATCTCTTGCAACTCATGTCCTGTGATTATATTCCATAAACATCCAAGGTGGATGAAAGAGGTACTTAACCAGTTATTCTCAATGTCCTGCTGTAAACAGAATCTCTAAGCTACTGGTTAGATATGCATTGCGTAAAGAATCTTCCCCTAATTTTTAAAGTACTTTATTTGTCCTTTAGTGGGGCAGCTGAAGGTGTGGACTTAATACGGAGTTTCAGGATGGATATCAAGATAGTAAGTTTTCATAAGGGCATGGAAGGAAAACAGTTTATTGGAAAAAAAGAAAAACATCTTGCAGTAACCTATTGGAACTCTTCTGGTATTGTATCAAGAACTATAAACAGCAGGCTGTGTAACTAGGGACTCTTTAGGGATTGATTTTTCAAAATGAAGCACTTTCCTAAGATCTAGCAATCAAACTTACTAAATTCTGGTCAAAGTGGTCAGCATAATGCTATGGTTTATTTATCAAAGCATCTAATGCTAAAAATAATCAACTGAAAAAAAACCAACCAGACAAACCCAACCAAACCTCTGCAGCCATCACTGAATTAAATGAAATGCTGAGAATACTGGGCATTTGTAAATAAGCTGGTAGTCTGCTTTCAGTGCCATATATATAAATATATTTTATCCCAAACAGGATAAGAATGGAAAAAAAGTTTTGCTTGTGAATAGGCCCTCTTCAGCATTTTGCACTCCACTGACCTCCACTGTTGGTTTTAAACACCACTAAACTAATGTTAAAACATGTAATTTTCTGTAAATGTCTGTTTACAATTACATATAGTTGGTTTTTAAACTAAGTGATGATTTTATATAAATGGTGCTCTACAAATACCCCATGGGATTATGTAGAGAAAGTTTAAACAAAAAGGGAATTGCCTTTCCTTTAGGATGTATTACATCCTTTGTATTTTTATCAAATTTTATTTAAAAAGTTTTTGTTGCATTTAATCTCATGCTGCAATTGGAAATGTTACTGTGTTTTCTGGTGGCTGATTTAATCTACTCATTATGATGAGAAGCAGATGAGTCACTTAAATGCAGTCTAAAGCAGTTCAACATCCTGTTACTTTTCAGGAATCCCTGGGTAATACTTTATTTGTAAGAAATCATGCCAGTGCTGTATGGCAAGCTATGAAAATTATATATTAATAAATTTAAGTGATCCTTGATATACACAAGATAACTTGTGCAAAGTACTTGTAACAACAGAAGTAGAAAAACTTTTAAGTTATTGCCAAAAACATTTTCTTGTGTTCTACAAGTTTACAGAAAATTTGCTGTGTCAAGTATCTTACATATATATATTCTGATGTGCATTACAGAAATTGGTGTAACAAGATGATAAACAATATAAACCAAGGTATTTTTATTTTTTAAAAAAAAGTCATTTTCACCCCTAGAACATATTTCTGTATTTATAGTTTTTAAAAAAATTGATTTTCTTTTCTGTTTCAGGCTTTGTAATTTATTTCAACTGCTTCATTTTTAGAGCTGAATGAATATGCCACTGAAGATGAGAGAAAGGAAAAATTTGCAAAAGGAAAGTCCTAGGAACACATATTAGATGATGAACCATTTTTATAAAACCTGTTCAGCAAAATGTTTAAAAAGGGAGAAAAGCATGTAAAGAGTTCAGACAGAGAAGAAAGAATGAAGTATGTATTGACTTTTTTAATTGCAATAGTAGCCTTAAACTTTTCTGGAAGCATTTCAAATAAATTACATTAAACCATTTTTATTTTTATTTGGTTTGCTTTTTGTGCAAGAAGACTACAAAAAGAAGTTGGTGCACACAGTGAGGCTTAACATATGTGGCCAACGTTTCTGTTTTGGTTCTAGTGGAAGTGTTAGGTACTTGGATCTAATTTACTAGATAGAAAATAGTAACAAAGAACCAAGTGACTGCACTCAGTTCAGCACATTCCCCAAAGTTCTGTATTATATAATCAATTTAATAAGTATGTAGAACAAAAAGTTAACATTCTGCTATCAAGATTCTCTCTCCTGATTCCTAGTGGGTCACATCTCTACTAAACACATATTATTCTAAAACACTGGGATGATGAATTTTTAGGCATGTGTGGAATAATTGCTGGAGGTGACTTGCAAATTAAATTTATCTTAAAGGTACAGCATTGTTGACACACTAAGGAAAGGTACAACACTGAAGAAGCTGTCAGGGTGCAGTGCAGCTGGTATGCAAGGAATCTGTTCCACAGAAATTCCCTGGGCAACCTTAGATGTTGGTAAGAGCAGGGGAGCTTGATATGTTGACTCAAAGAGAAACTACACAGAAGGTGGAGTGGAGATGCCACAGGCAGGCTCTGTGACTGTGGATGGAACTTGAAGACACTACAGAACTGATAGACTGCATAGTTGTTACCCTGGGCCAACAGTTTGTCCTTTTTTTGATAAAATATTGTCCTTTGGGTGAATTATGCTCATTATAATCTTATTATAATAGCATAACACACCTCCATCCCAAAAGCTACTCACCTTCAAGGTGCAACCACTCCTCACTGAATTTGCACTCTGAATTTTTCCTAGTCTATACCTTTAAAAGCAAAGTGAGAACATTTTCCACCAAACATAATAAAGGTATGTATGACCTCAAAGGTAAGCTCCACCTGAATGTTAGAGTATAAAAATGGCTTAAGAGAGGAAGATACCATCATGGACCAAACTGACTTCTGGGATCAGTAGATGGGCTAAACCTCTCTTCCCCTCCATAGAGATGCCTTTGCATAAGACGTGAACACTCAGTTACCCAGCGTGCTTCCCTGGGACACTTAGAAATCTCTGTAAGTGGTTTTATAACTTAACGTGTTTGTAGACCAGCTGTAGTATTCATATGCTTGGTAATTGCATGTGCTTTGCAGACAGTGACTTTATCAGCGATTATCTAAAGAATTTGTGCATCTGTTGCTTTAATAAACTCCTGTGTTCATCAATCAGGCCATGGGAGTTCTCCCTGAACACGGCCAAGCTCCCTGCGTCTGCCCGTGAGAGTTCAGGGAACACCACTAGACTGGCAGTGGGTTGCGTTATTAATCCGGATTTTTAACGCCAAGTTGAGCATCACTCAGGATGCAAGCCCAGTCGTCCCCAGCCCCTCTGATATCTGCAGACGAAGGGGAACACAAGGGCATTTGTTTTCTGCTAAATTCTTTTGCCCTTTAATGCATATGAAAAGCCACCAACTAGCTGGTGAATCTCAGAAAAGTACATTTGTTTACTGTTGTTGAGCAACCCACTTATCATCGGCTTCCACGCTGCAGTACAAGTGTTTCAGTTTTGCTTTGTAGTTGACATGCAGTTAACTACTGATTTGAGCTCATACAGTTCAATATTGCTTTTTCAAATCATCTAAGGGAATAAGCCTTCCAGTTTAAAAGAATACTTGTATCGTTTTGGATTTGGTTACCTCGTTTTGGTTCTGGCACTTTAAAAATGCTACTGCTTTTGAAAGAATGATTTTTGATTGCAGTGGGAGGCATGGGGTGAGTATGGACAATAAAATGTATGGAGAAAGGTGGGCAAAATGTAAAATTAGGAATACAAAGTAAAGAAGAAAAGTTACGTAAGTATGTCTAAGTGATCATCGCTGTTAATAATTTGGCGTCAGCAGAACAGAGCCTGAGAAGTCACGACAGTGAGCGGGGACGCACAGTGCAGCCATGCTGTACACACAGGCCTCTGCATGAGAATCATGCAGAAAATTGCTTCTGATTTTTCAGGTCACCCCCACTGCATTTCTCAGCACCCCTATTAGTGCTTCCACTAATGAGAGTTCAGTGCTGTGTAATTTTTATATTGGACTTCTAGGGGATCTTAGATCTTTCCTATCTCAGATGGAAGAATATTGCCACAGCAAGAAGGTGCATGAGGACAGGTGGAGTATGTAAAAAAAGGCAAGAAGCAGTGAAGAACCTGAGGTGTCAAGGGCTTCTGAGATCACCATGAGGGGATGGCAAAATATGAACAGGACTGCAGATGCTGGATGCCTTCCAGCTCCTGTACATTTGAGGTATGAGTACTCCAGTTTGGGAGAAGAGTGGTGAGGCGTCTTAGCAAGCTATTTGCTCTTTCACTCCTGGTGAGAACAGTTGGTGTAGTCTTGGCTGGCAGGAAGAGCTGATGAACCAGAAGTAATAAAGGTAAAAGCATAGGTTGTCTTGATGGAGAAAGAAAGGTAAGCAAAGAGAATGCCCTTGGAAGTCTTTGAACTACATGGGTGCTCTGAGACTACAAAAATAATTAACTGTCTGTGGTCTCTGGTTCTCTAGATTTGGTCTGCAGCATTGAAAAGAAAAATGCAAGGATGAAGACATGGCTCCGGACACACAAAGGTCTGCTATGAGACACCAAGAGCACTTTGTTCAGTGAAGGTCAGTACCAGGGAATCAGTTGCCAGAATCTGGGTAAAGGACAGGCCCAAAGTTGAACTCCAAGGTAGAGAAATTGTTTCCCCATGGTAACTCCTTCTCAGCCTGACCTGAACCAGGGATGCTGCTGTAGGAATGCCTCTGCAAGAGTGGGAACAAGTTTTTCCTGAGGTATCACAGAAATCTCTGGAATTCAAAACATACATTGGAACTTTTAGGTATCCGTTTAATGGATCGATCTTTTTAAATAAGTCGATGCTTTCTGGTGGCACTGTCTGGCCCTTAACAGACTGACTCAGTTCCCAGGATCTAATAGAGCAGCCAGGGACTGAGTTTTACATATATGAAAGAAGATGTGTTTGCTTTGAATAGGGGATTCCAGATCCAGAATGAATAGATCTTCCATATTTAAAGCTTATTCATGAATGCTGATTTTGTAAAACTGTAATTTGTTCTACAGATTGATGCTGCCATCTACTGGAAATAATGGCATATTTTTAGAGTTGATTTGATTACATTAGATTTAAAATATTTTAAGGTACTAATAATTATAAAATGAAATAATTTTAAAAATAAAGTAAGTATTTTCAGACTGTCACCTGAGGATGAGGAATTTGTTAGGAAAGAGTACTAGGTGAATTTCTGCTTCTAATCCCTGGCTTTACAGAGACAGGCTGAGCCTAGCTCCCCAGTTAGTCTCACCTTTTCCTAATAGGCTTATTTTCTTCTTGGCTGGTAAATGATACTAACTCTCTTTCCAAGTATATAACTCAGGTTTTGTCTCTGAATTTTCTGAAGGTGCCTCTTTTTGCG